ATTAGCTGGTGGCATGGCTTGAGCAGAGTGATGGTTAATTTGCATATTACTCTTTTATTAGGGAGGACTAGAGGCCTGGTGCATAAAATTCATGCACAGGGTGGGGGTGTGGGTGTCCCTCAGCCTAGCCTGCACCCTCTCCAATCTGGGACCCCTTGAGGATGTCCAACTGCCCATTTAGACCTGATCACACCAGGATCAGGTCTAAGCAGGCAGTTGGACATCCCTCTCACAATCCAGGACTGCTGGCTCCCAACTGCTTGCCTGCCTTCCTGATTGCCCGCCAGCCTGATCATCCCTAACCACTCCCCTGCCAGCCTGATTGATGTCTAACTGCTCCCCTGCCAGCCAATTTGCCCCCAACTTCCCTCCTCTGCTGGCCTGGCCACCCCTAACTACCCTCCCCTACAGAGTTGATCGCTTTCAACTGCCTTCCCTTTCAAGCTTGGTCCCTCCCAACTGCCCTCACCTGCTGACCATCTTGTGGTGGCCATCTTGTGTCCACATAGGGGCAGGATCTTTGACCATGTGGGGGCAGCCATCTTGTGTTGGAATGATGATAAATTTGCATATTACTTTTTTATTAGATAGGATAGGGGCCTGGTGATCGGTGGGGGCCAGCTGGTTTGCCCTGCATGGTGTCCTGGGTCAGGGTAGGAGTTCCTGTGGGGCTTGAGGTGGCTTGGGCGTGAGCCTATGGTGGTTTGCAGGCTGGCCATGCCCCCTGGCAATTCAAGCAAAGGCCCTGCTATCTAGAATTTTTTCTACCTTCTACAATTGAAACTTTGTAGCCTAGAGCAGAGCCAAGCCTCCTGCTTGCAGCCATCTCTATTGGGACTTATGTACCTTCTATAATTGAAACTTTCTATCCTTGAGTGGAGGCCTAAGGCCAGCCAGGGCAGATAGAAAGCTTGGCTTCCTCTGTTGCCAGGGGAAACCCCAGCCTACTCTCTCCAGGTCCGCTGCGGCCATTTTTGGGGGGATTTATCTTCTATAACTGAAACTTTGTATCCTTGAGTACAGGCCTAGGTTGGCCAGGGTGGGTGGAAAGCTTGGCTTCCTCTACTGCTGGGGAAACCCAAGCCTCTCAACTGCTCTCTGTTGCTGTAACCATCTTGGTCAGGGTTAATTTGCATGCTCATTTTGATTGGCTGGTGGGCGTAACTTGAGTGGAATGATGGTTTATTTGCATATTACTATTTTATTAAGTAGGATCCAGTTGTATTCTGGTGTGATCTGAAGCTGTCCTCCAGGTGCACTGGCTCTAAGGCCTTCAAGGAGGTTCAGTCAGTCACTGCCTTGGGCCACTTAGCAGAATGAAATCTGCAAATGGATGCTATTTTTATTGGGCTTGGAAGTGCCCAGGTGAGGCCCAGCTAGGAAGCAAAGCAGACTGGTGCCAGGTATTGGCCTTTTATTGATAGGTTTGGAGTATGCTGATAACATCTCCAGCTTTTTGAGAGGCTTTAGCAGTCTGAAGCCTGAACTAGGACAGGACATTTATATTAAAAAACAGCTGTAAACAACTTCGGTGGAACTGCAAATTGAATGGGATCTCAAGAAATTATCAGGGCAAACAGCTTAAGCCAGGCTGATGGAAACACAGATATGGACCCTGCCTCTCAGCTCTGCAATAGGGAATTCCCAGCACAGGTCCAATGACCCTTGCAAGCACCCCCATCTGGGATTAAACTGGCCCTGAATTCCTTCCCTGATGCCAGACAATCCAGTTCCATTATGTGTCTGGGTCCTCTAAAGCTGCCAATACTGGAGGTCAGAGGGATTGAGTCTGAGTAAGTTTGCGCACTGGCCCTTTAAAAGGAATACCTGAGTCTCTAGCAACCTCTATATCACACAGCTCCAATCCCCACTTGTCTTTATAGCCTGTAGTTACAGGACCTCTCTTCCCAGATCTGGAACCCTGGGCTGGGACCCATTGCTCCTGATACGCAGCCTCCCTTCCAGTTAAAAAAAAAGGGAGGGGCACACATGGGTGTTGGACCAGCCCATTCCATGCCTGTGCCCCTCCTGCCAGTATCAATGTGCTTACTTAATTACTAGAGAAGTAAAGAAGCTTTCAGATAGTTCTAAATAATGGTTGTTCTATATTTTAGTTGGAATTTTGATGTGGTTATAGGAGTGGTGTATACTAACACTCACCTACACCATCATCTTGGTTCTCTTTACACATTACGTTTTCAAACAATTGGACAGGTCAGGTCACTTTATCTGGATTAAAAAAAATCATATTACTTTTCTATTAGGCTACTAGATTTGACTTGGTATTTTAATTGGAACATTCATATACAATGAATACAATGTATTATTTTTTATAGCTGATTTGGATTTGGATACTTTCCTTACTCAAATTTGGTTAACAGGTTATGCTAGCCCTATAACTATGACTTTGTATATAGAACACTTAGAAGATTTTATGTGTAAGATTCTCTGGTAATAGAGGAATAACACGGTGTAGTTCCTTAGTTTTTCTCATGATTCTTACTTTATTCAGGAAAATAGTACTTTTCTAGGATTTCAGACAACTGCAAAAAGCTGAATATAAATAGGCATACTGCAAATTACTCTAAATACACATTTCCTATGAATTACCAAATCACAGTTGAATGCGCATATACACATATAGGCATATTGTAGTTTGCTTTATTGCATGTTACTGATGTTGCAATTTTTTTTTTTACAAATTGAAGACAAGACTCTCCAAAAGCAAAAAGATCTTGACTCATTTTAATTCCATATTCAATATATTGTAGTGCTCTCAAACCATACCTGAAATATACCCAAGATATTAATATGTTTAAGAAAGTAATGCTTTTCCATAATTTGTTATACTGTAAAAAGATGAATATAAACAATTTCCCATCTTACTAAAGTTAAATAAATGTGTGTGTGTATATATATATATATATATATATATATATATATATAAAATATTTTTTCCTGAGACTCAGATATATTTTTAAAAGTTGAGTATAAACTTATAACAGATATGATGGAGTTTCTTTTTCACATAAGTCTGGAACAGGGCAGTTATGAATTGTTTCATCAGCTCAACAATGTAAAGGACAAAGATAATTCCCACCTATCCCATGCCAATCTGTCTCTTGCCACTCTGGTGGCAAAATGGCTACAATTCCAAATATCACACAGACATATAGACATGCATTCTGTATATAAGAAGACCATTTCTTCCTATTTTGTTAGGAAAGAAAACTTAACTGAAGTCCACTTGCAAACTTTTGCTCAATTCTCCTATGGCCAGGATTGGTATACATATGCCAAGATGCAAAGGAACCTAGATGGGCAAGCATCTCGCATTTAGACTTAAGTGGGTGGCAGGTAACCCTGACAAAAGGAGAATAGTTAATAGCAATGAATAGGCAATCAACAGTATCAGCCACAATAATATTGTCTTATTCTTTTAAATATCATCCACTTTTGTAATTATATACCCTCTCTTATTCATGAGTTTTTTCTTCCTTTATAGGATACAGTGTTTTTCATTAAAAAAAATGTTTTCAAGTTTTTTTCTTTCTTTTTTGGCTCTATACTTATTTTATTAGAACTTTTCAACATATGAGGGTAAAATGCTTATTCGTTCACTCTCTTATTCCTTTGATCAACAATGTTTACTGGGAACCTACCAGAAATAGGGAATGGGCAGTGGAAAAGAATCATGGCCTTAATTTTTCCTGTTTCCTATACATATTGAAAGAAGTAAATTTTCCTTAAGTATTGCATTGCTGTATCCTTAAAATTTCAACATGTAGTCTTCTCTTTGTCATTCATTACTAATGATAATTTGCCTTTTAATATAAAAATATTTAGTTTTCTTTTAAATTTCCATATAGAAAAAATGCATTTAGACTAAGGCTTTGTTATTTTCTAATTATCCAAAACAGAAACCATAGGGTGTGCCCTATGTAATTTTTTTAAAACGTCTTAATATATCATCCAAGTCTTCACCCTGACCTCAGAACTACCCACTTTTATTCTACTGGGATTCTTTACATTATGAATCTTCTGATGGGACAAAAATATAAGCTATGGACAAAAGTTTGTTTTTAAATTTTTCTCCAGAAGGAATTACCTACCATTCTTTAATAAAGACATGAATTAAGATGTTTATATAGTCACTGACCCCCAGAGGCTTTTCTCTTATATAATCTCTAATAATACCTATGAAAATAAAAACACTTAATAATAAAGGCAACTCTTATCTAGCAGACTTTCAATACAATACAGACACTGTTCTATGGGATATAATGTAATTATTTAATCTTCACAATGCTACTAAAAATGGTGCTAATATTACCAATTTATAAATGAGAAAACTTAGACATAGTTAAATAATTTGTCCTATAAAATATGAGTTATAGTGGTGAAGGCAAATAAAGACTAACTATTGGTTAAATCCTTTTCCCACTCTGATTCAGTTCAAGTTAATTTTAAAGAATGAGTTTGCAAATCTGAACAAGATTTGGGCAGGGTAAACTAATTTTCTACAATTTTAATATTAATATAGCCTTCATTAAGTGTGACTATCAGATAGATAATTTGTTAGCTAAAGCAAATTGGTGTCCCATATATATGTCATTTATATTATAAATATTTTATTTCCCTAAAGATTAATGACCCTGATGTTGAGAAAGATTTAAATGATTAATGTCTCTAACATATTTGCTGTCTTCATTTTTCTTACATTCATGAAGGTTTTTGTTTTTGCACCAATTGAATTCTGATATCAAATGAGGTTTAAAACACAAATAAACGCTTCCAATTGCGAACATAAGGTTTCTCATCAGTAACAAATGCTCGATAAATTCTGGCTCTTAAATTAAAACTTTATATCTATAGTACAAACTATGTTATTAAATTATTATCCTCAAATGCTTTCCCACATTACTTGTTTCTATTTTACTAGTATGAATTTCAGATTACAATTAAATTCTGAACCTTCCCTCATGTCTTCATTCATTCCTCTATGCTGCATGAATTTTTTGATGTTGACTAAGATGTGACCCACGAATAAAGGCTTTCCCACATTGCTTACATTCATAAGGTTTCTCACCAGTGTGAATTTTCTGGTGTCGATTAAGTTCTGAGCTGCGACCAAAGGCCTTCCCACATTCCTTACATTCATATGGTTTTTCACCAGTATGACTTCTCTGGTGATGAATAAGTTCTGACCTTCTAATAAAAGCCTTCTCACATTCCTTACATTTATGGGGTCTCTCACCAGTGTGAATTTTTTTATGTCGAATAAGTTCTGTGCTACAAGTAAAGGCCATTCCACATTCCTTACATTTATAGGGCTTCTCACCACTGTGAGCTCTCTGATGTCGAGTAAGTTCTGAGCCACGGCGAAAGGACTTCCCACATTCCTTACATTTATATGGTTTCTCACCAGTATGAACACTCTGATGTCGAATAAGATGTGAATCAGAGATAAAAGCTTTCCCACACTGCTTACATTTATGAGGTTTCTCACCAGTATGAATTCTTCGATGCAGATTCAGTTGTGAGGGACAACTATATACTCTTCCACACTCTTTACATTCATAGCGTCTTTCACCAGTATGAATTATTTGATGAAGACTAAGTTGTGTATCATAACGAAAAGCTTTACCACATTCCTTACATTTATGGGGTTTCTCACCTGTATGGATTCTCTGATGTCGAAAAAGATGTGAGGGACGGGTGAAGGCTTTTCCACATTCCTTACATTCATAGTATTTCTCATCTGTATGAATTCTCTGATGTAAATTAAGTTGTGAGGTAGATGAAAATGCCTTCTCACACTCCTTACATTTATAGGGTTTCTCACCAATATGAATCCTTTGATGTTTTGAAAGTTGTGAGCTAGAATGAAAAGCTTTTCCACATTCTTTACATTTATGAGCTTTCTTACCAATATTAATGCTTTGAGGTGTAGTAATTTCAGAGTCATGAATAAAAGCACATTTCTCATATTCATTACTTTTCTTTCTTTCATGAATTATTTGATGTTTAATCAAGCCTGATCTACTATTAAAGGCTTTACCATAGTCTCCACATTTAGAGTTTTTCCCCTTATTATGACTGCTTTCATGTTGCAGGTGGCATGCTTGGTAACTGAAAGCTTCTTTATATTCCTTGCATTCACATTTCGCTCCAGAATGAATTATGTGAGGTAGTCTATTGACTGTACACTGAATAGAAGCAGACCTTTCTTTAGAGGTCATTACCATTGGTCTGAAATGTCCATCCTGTTGTTTCTCCAAGTAGCATTTGATTTCACTATTATTTTTGACCCGAGTGCACACAAGGTTAGAACTTATAGGTCTTTTTGATATCTTTGGTTGCAATGATTTAATTTCATAACTGCCCTCCTTTGGAGGCAAATTCTTGGTTTTTCTTCTGGACTCCCAATCTGAAAATAACAAGAAAAGAGGAAGTATTTTTTATTGCAGGAAAAAGAAAAGCTTTTCTAAAGTAGAAATTACAAACTAAAAATAGCAAATAAATAGCTCTTAAGATTGCTTTGCAATTAAAACAAAAACAAAAACAGGGGGCAGGGAAAAATGAGAATGGAGAAAATGAAGTGGGCTTACAGAAGTAGTAGTTCTTTGGATAAGAGTCTATTTAGGTCCTTCACCCCATTTTAAAAATTGAATTGCCTGTCTTCCTTTTGTTAAGTTTTATGAGTTCTTTATATATTTTGGAAATTAGCTTTGTTAGATGTATCATTGATATATATGCTCACCCATATAGTGGGATCCCTTTTCATTTTGTTATTGGTTTCTTTTACTGTGCAGAAGTTTTTTATTTTGATGTAGTCCCATTTGTTTATATTTTCATTTGTTTCCCTTGCCCTAGAAAATGTATTGGCAAACATCTATATTAATAACATCTACACTAATTAGATTGGACAGCCAAATGACCTTTTGGATGAAGCTGAGGCAGAGGGCAGCCACCATGGCTGTGAGAGCCAAGCCCCTTCCACGAATTTCGTGCATTGGACCTCTAGTATTGCTATAAGAGATGTCTAAAATTTTGCTACCTATGTTTTTTTTTTTCCCTAGGATTTTTATGGTTTCAAACTTACATTTAAGTCTTTTATCCATTTTTAGTTTATTTTTTGTATGGTGTCAGTTGATGGTCTAGTTTCATTTTTTTGTTTTTGTTTTTGCATGTACCTGTTCATTTATCCCAACATATTTATTGAAGAGACTGTTTTACTCCATTCCTTACTTCATTCCTGTCAAATATTCTCCAAAGAGAATATACAGATTAACCAAAGAAATTATATGCATAACCCATGGACATAGGAGGTGGTAGATCTGGGGAAGGGTGGAGGATGTCAATGGGGATAAAAAGGAGACATCTGAAATACTTTCAACAATAAAGATAAACATTTATTTTCAATTTAAAAAAGTGGTTCTTCACTTCTGGTGAGAAGCTGAATCAGCTGAGGAACTTGGTAAAATACAGTGTCGAGGAACCATCTAAGATCAATTAAACAAGAATCTAAAGGAATAGGAGATTACAACTAACAGTAAGTACTCCATTTCTAGCCCCAAAATATATCCAGATTATGACTTCTTCTATCAGTATCTTTACCACCTGTCCAACCATAATAAGATTAACATCTATAATAATAAAAGTATAATATGCTAATTAGACAGGTTAGCTGAACGACCTTCCAGATGTCCTTCTGGGTGAAGCTGCAGTGGCAGGGGCCAAAGCAGGCAGGCAGGTGAGTGGTTAGAGGCTATCAGGTAGGCAAGCAAGCAGTTAGGGACAATCAGGCAGGTAGTGAGCAGTTAGGGGTGATCAGGCAGGCAGGTGAGCAGTTAGGAGCATCAGGCAGGCAGGCAGAGTGGTTAGGGGTGATCAGGTGGGCAGGCAGAGGTGGTTTAGGGGCAATTAGGCAGGCAAGTGAGCTGTTAGAAACCATGGGTCCCAGATTGTAAGAGGGTGCAAGCTGGGCTGAGCCCCCCTCCCCAATGCATTTTTGTGCACTGGGCCTCTAGTACTATCATAATGGGTCTCTCTACTTCCACTGTTGCCTTCCTAATATTTCATATCCAATACAATAACTAGAATATCCTTGTTAAGATAAATTAGATCATATAATTCTCCTGCTTAAAAACCTCCACTGAATTTCTTTCTCAGGAAGAGTAAAAATGAAGTTTTTATGAGGTCTACAGTGTCTTCCTTGAATTTTTGCATTACCTCTTTCTGACCTCATTGCCTATCTCCTCCCTTTAGCTGACTCTGTTCTTGCCTTGACCAATAATATGTTCTTCAAATTTGCCAAATACATCCCTGCTTCAGAATCTCTGGCTGGAAATACCTTCCCTAAGATATTTCTTATTGACTTATTCAATATGACTTATTCAATTACTTCATTCTGACCTCTAATCAAATCGCAACTTATGAGATTACTCTTTATAAAATAGAACCCTCATCACTCTTACTCTATTTTTTATAGTGCACTTTCATCATATGCCATGTAACTATTTCCCTGACAATATTATTAAGATTTCAAACAATAAAAACAATAAAAGAATTAGACCATGAACCCCCATATTCCAGAGATCAGATGTCAGAAGATATTGTTACTTTAAATATTGGGAAAAACAATGTTATAGATGAATCTTGTGATGACCCCTCATGTACTACCATGTTTCCCCAAAAATAAGACAGCCTCCAAAAATAAGACCTAGTGCATGGAAAGATAAGACATCCCCTGAAAATAAGACCTAGCACAACTTTGGGAGAAAAAATTAATATGACACCGTCTTATTTTCGGGGAAACAGGGTATATAGATGAAGGCCACACCTTCATGTACTAGATAGATGAAGGCCACACCTTCATTACTGAGGCGGGGTGGAAATGAGCTCCTATAGCTCTGAATCCTCAACTTATAAACTGGTACAAAAGAGTAAAACGAAATTTTATGGGTCAAAGCTACTGTAATCTGGATGTTTGTAACACACATCAAAACTATATTTTAACTCATATACTGGCTTCTTGCTGATACTCCATTCATGAAGCCCATTTTCTCTCTAGAGCTTTTGTGCTTATTCTGTCTACCTTGACACTCCCTCCCTGCTGCATCTTCAGATATCTCCCTTTCTCCCTGCTTTCAGGTTGCCCCTGGCTCCAATAGTACTTCTTCAGAGGACCATCCAATATTACAGAATCACCTCTCACTTAAATGCAGTAAGATTTTTTTTTCTTCAAAATTTATTGTTATTTAAATAATATTACATATGTATCTACTTTGTCCATTATTCCCACTAGAAGTAAAATAAACCCCATGAGACAGGGCCTTTCACTTTTTCACTGTTGTATAAACAATAGGAAATTGTTGAATGTTGACCAATAGATAACTCTAAATGCAAAACAGAAGACACGAGGTTGATTTCAGAGTGGGAACCTTGGTGAACTTACTTTTTCCTACAAAAACAATAAATAGTCTGCAAATAAATAAATAAGAAAACTGGGGAGATAATTAGGATCTGATATTTTAATTTAAAATTGTGGGGCCATTCCCATTTCCCTTTTAACCAGCCCAATAACACAGCTGCTAGCTGATTTGCAGCCAATGAGAAGTCTGATCTCTTTTGGAGTCCCATTAAAAGCACCACAATCCATCCAATATTTTTTCAGAACTTAGAGCTCCCTGGAAAATATATTTCCAAGTTGTAGTTTTTATTTAATTTGAGTCAGGGCTCAACTAGGATGGGAGACTGGGGGCATGAGAAGTTCTATCCCACAGCATTACTGAAAACAATAGAAAGCAATGGCAACATAGGAGCTGATTAAGGGTCTAATTTCAGTTGGTGCAACCAATAACTATAGAGGAATTTGAAAAGATATCTTAAGAACTAGGTGACCACAGAAAATTCTAAAAATTTCGAACAGGTTCCTGGGAATATAAAAAGCCCAATCAGCACTAGCTGGTTTAGCTGTGGATAGAGCATTGGCCTGCGAACTGAAAGCTCCCAGGTTCAATTCTGGTCAAGGGCACATGCCCTGGTTATGGGTTCAATCCCCAGGAGGCAGCCAATGCATGATTCTCTCTCATCATGGATGTTTCTATCTCTCTCTCCCTTTTCCTTCCTCTCTGAAATCAATAAAAATATATTTTTTAAAAAGCCCAATGAGGTCCTGTAAAATTATGAAGTGCATACTAAGACTGTAATATATAATTTGCCTAACGTTTTAAGGTCAGCTTTCTTATATAGATTTCTTTTTCAAAGGGTAGAAGAAATATAGGCAAGGCATTTAAAGAAATCTTCTCACCAATCATTGACTTACCACTAATTTACACTGACCCATGAGTAACCACCAGAAAACCAAGCAGAAATAAATAAATAAATAAAAACAAGAACTTAAAGGGGAAAAAAGGCTACTGTAAAACTTAGAGGCTGCAAACTACAGAGAACAGGCTGGACAAAATTAGCCAAAGAAAATTACTAACTCAAAGAAACAAAACAACAATTAAAAAACAAATCAAGGAAACAACAACAAACTATTGGTGCGAGAGGAATAAGATACCAGAACTGTGACAATACATTATCTAAAATGTCTACATTTGCCAAAAAAGATGAGACATACAAAGATACAGGCAACATACCACATACACAGAAAAAAAAAAAGAACCAACAGACAATATCCCTGACTGAGCACAGTTAATGCACTTACTTAGGCATTATATATTATATATATTATGAACTAAGTTAATATATATATATATATATCTTGTGTGTAGCCACTCATCTTGGACTTCAGCAGAAGGAGGGCAATTGACTGGAGCTATGTAAGTAAAGGTCAGGGTTGGGGACTCTGGGTTAGAGCTCAAAAGACAGGCACCCCAGTTTCCTGTCTGGGTCATTCTCTCATACTGCGGAGGTCATTTATCTCATGTAGACATTAGCTATCTGGGCAGTTATTGCTTGGGGGAAGACAGTTGACTCACTCTATCAGAAAAACTTTTACCCCACAGTGTGGAGACCCATTAAGAGACTGAGAATAACAATTAGCCTCCAGGCAGGAGCAATTGCCCCACCTCATTAGAAAACCTTTCCTCCACCTGTGGACAATTGCCTGATGACTACTTAAAACTGAATTGAATCAGTCAGCAGGCAGAGGTGGATCTCTGGAGTCTTTGAGTCTTTGCCAGGTCTACTTAGTCAGAAAAAGTATAAGCCACTGCCCTGCATTAGAGATTCAGAGGCATAGCAGATCTATCTAATACAAGGTCACAAACCCAAACAGTTAGCCAAAAGCGGGGAGGAAAAGCGACAACCTCCAAAGGAAAGAGCAAGAGATTCCTCCAGAAGATGAAATAAATGAAATGGAGATTAAAATGTATCTGGTTTAGGGATCAGAATAATGATGGTGAAGATGCTCAACAG